CATCTCTGCAAGCTGGCAATATACTTGTTATTTAAAAAACAAAACAAAACAAAAACAATTTCTGAAAGGTACTTGGAAAATCATATTGGCATATTAAATCTCCTTTAAGGTAGAACTGTAAAGCTTTTCATGCATTAGAACTCTACCTGGCTTTGGACTAATCCCAGAACAAAGCTGAGCCACCTAAATACATATAATTACCCCGATACAGTAAACCTCCAGAGCTTGCATTAAGGAATGCTTTTTAAAAGAAGAAATTATAGGGGCACCTGGGTGGCTCAGCTGGGAAGACGTCTGCCTTTGGCTCCGGTCATGACCTCAGGGTCCTGGGATCAAACCCCATGTAAGGTTCCCTCCTCAGCAAGGAGTCTGCTTCTCCCTCTGCCTCTGCCCTTCCCCCTCTGCTTCTGTGAACACTCGCTCGTACTCGCTCTCTCTCAAGTAAAATCTAGGGCGCCTGGGTGACTCAGGCAGTTGGGCTTTGATACTTGCAATTGTTACATACAGAGTATTTTAGTTAGACGGTAATTAGCTCATGCCTGGATTCTGTAATGCTTAATGTGATAAACGCATAAGGTTTCTTGTAAAACAAACCAGTTAATATAAGCACATAACCACAGAAAAAGTATACCAAACTATTTAAAAATTAGTGTTTTTCTACTTAAAATATTGTTTAGCTTAAGACTTCTTAGGACATTGGTAAAATCAAGTTAAATCCATGTTTTTTTTTTTTTTTAGATTTATTTATTTTAGAGAGAGAGATAGAGTGCACAAGCAGGAGGGGCATAGGGAGAGGGAGAGAAAATCTCAAGCGGACTGCGCTAAGCACAGAGCCCAATGTGAGGCTTGATCTCACCACCCCAAGTCCACAACTTGAGCTGAAACCAAGAGTAGACACCTAACCGGCTGTACCACCCAGGCACCCTCCAATAAGGTTTTTGATTACTTGTTGCAACTGAAGGTGGTTTTTACAATTGAAATAATATTTCAGCTAAAGAAAACATTGTTAAACACTGATATTTGATAAAAAGTTCCATTCTATAATTTCTGTAAATTATACTTGTTCTGAAAAAGGTGCAATGCCCTAATGGTAAAAAGATTTCTAAACAAACAAAAGTAAACAGCAAGTCCATTAAAGTAGACACAAATGTGAAAGCCAAAACAATGCACATTTAAAAATAACAGAGGAGATTATCTATGTGGACTTAGAGTAGGAAAATTAATTTTAAAGAGGACACAAATGACAGCAATATTAACAAATTTAATAAATTAATCCAAGGATCTACAAAGTTTTCCGTGTAAAGAGCCAGAAAACAAGTATTTTAGGTCTTGAGGGCCAGATGGTCTCCATCATTTCACTCTCAACTCCACCCTGAAGCCACAGATCAGACACAAATGAATAGGTAGGTAACAGGTAGTAGGGAGGGATTTGTGGGAGGAGCACAAGGGAGGCTTTAGAAGTCCTGCCAGTGTTTGTTCTGACCTATGTATTAGTGTTGTGGGCATTAGACTTGTAGTAATTCACTGACCTATAGACTTAAAATGTGTGGATTTTTTAATACATCTGCTATACATATAAAAATAAGATTTATTAAAAAAATAAAACACATTTTAGGTTAGTGATCAAAGAAGGCATCAGAAAGGAAACTGAAACCTGTGTAGAAAAAAAGCTCCACATATTGATACTTGGATTTTGTAGCTAAAGTAGTAGTAGAGAGAAATTATATTCTTACATGGGCATAATAAAAAGCTTTACAATAAACTCATCTTCAACAAAAAGTTACAAAAAATAGCCTATAACCAAAGATAGCTGAAGGAAGGAATAAAGGTAAAAGCAGAAGTTAATAAAAACAACAGTGAAGGGGTGCCTGGGTGCTACAGTCGGTTAAGTATCTGACTCTCGATTTCGGCTCAGGTCATGATCTCAGAGTTGTGAGATCGATCCCCACATCGGGCTCCACACTCAGCATGGAATCTGCTTGAGACGTTCTCTCCCTCTCCCTCTGTCCCCCTCCCTGCGCTCACACACGCGCATGCTCTCTCTCAAATAAATAAATCTTTTTTAAAAAACACAGTGAAAATCAATAAAACCAAAAGCTGGTTCCATGAAGAATAAAGTATTATCTGTGATAAACATTAGTCCAAAAAAATCAGAAAAACCTTTAGGAATAAAAAGGAACAAATTAAACATTTTTATTTTTTTCCCAAATTTTTATTTAAATTCCAGTTAGTTAACATACAGTGCAATATTGGTTTCAGGAATAGAATTTAGTGATTCATTACCTGCATACAAGACCCAGTGCTCATCACAAGTGCCCTCTTTAACACCATCACTCATATAGTCCATCCCCACCCACCTCCCTCCATCAACCCTCAGTCTGTTCTGTCCTTCTTTTTTTAATTTTTTTTTAAAGATTTTATTTATTTGACAGAGCGAGACACAGCGAGAGAGGGAACACCAGCAGGGGGAGGGGGAGAGGGAGAAGCAGGCTTCCCACGGAGCAGGGAGCCCGATGCGGGGCTCGATCCCAGGACCCCGGGATCATGACCTGAGCCGAAGGCAGACGCTCAACGACTGAGCCACCCAGGCGCCCCAGTTTGTTCTGTCTTTAAGAGTCTCTTATGGCTTGTTTCCCTCTCTTCCCCCCCATACGTTCATCTGTTTTGTTTCTTAAATTCCACATGCGTGAAAAAAATTAAATATTTTTAAAATGATTAAGAATACTATAGACAAGTTTATGGAAAAAAATACAGCCAAACAGAATTACAGTGATCACCAAAAGAGTAACCCTTTTTGACCACGTGGGACTTGTTTTAGAACACAAAGATTAGTTATTAAGAAATGTGGAAATGTAATTCAATAGATCTAAAAAGAAAAACTGTATCATCATTCCCATAAAATGTTAAGAAAGCATTTGGAAAAATTAAACTCTAATTTTCAATAAAATAAGACTCAAAGGATACTTTGTGAACATGACAAAACCTACCTCAGTCGAAAACCAGCAGCACGCATAGCATTCCCACTCACACGTATTGTGTTAGTCCTTTCATTGTGCTGCTTATTTTTTTAAAGATGGACAAGTACAAAATCAGATCCTTTCATCACATTATACTAAAAAAATTCTGGATTAAGGTACTAAATATTAAAGAAAAGTCTTATTAGAAAAAAGAATATAGAAGAATTTCATTAGGCCCATGGAGTCAGAAAAACAAGAATAAAAAAACAAGACATGAAAGGGTTGTATCACAATGTAAAACTTTCAGAAAGGATACTATTATGTTAAAAGACAAAGCATATGAAGAGAAGATAATTAGTAATTATAACAAAAGATTAGCATTTAAAATACATAGGGAATTCTTAAACTCAGTAGGCTGAAACAACTTAAAAAGCATAGGTTTATGAAAGTTGCACAAACTCAATAATCAGAAAAGTAGAAATTAAACAGTGACGTTTTACACTCTTTAATATAAGAATAATTTTTATGTCTGGAGAGGAGGGAGGAAGTTGTCCTCTAATGAATAAGTTTACCTAGAAAAATTAGAAATCCTCATATCCTGTAACTCAAAAATACTAATCACTGGACTTTAGAGCAATAATTCTTAAATTTGGTGTGTATCAGCATCATACGGGCACCCTGTTAAAAATATGGATTGCTGGGCCTTGCCCCCCAAGTTTCTGTTCCAATAGGTTTTGGGAGGGTACATAAAAATCTGCATTTCAGACGAGTTTCGAGGTGATGCTGCCATTTCTGACCAAAGAACCTAACTTTGAGAAGCACTGCTCCAGAGTGTGGAGACAGACTTGCATCTATGCAGAGAGAACACGGATATTCATAGCAGTATTTATATTAATGAAAAGTGGAAATTACCTAAATGCCTACCAACAAAATATATTTAGAATACAGTGCACCTATACAGTGGGAAAAACAGAGCATTACAAGGGATAAGCTACATATGGATCGATCTCAAATTACTGGTGAACTGAGGGGAAAAATGTCCATCATGTATACATGAAGATAATTTATACATTTTTAGAAGTCCTAAAAACAATGAACAGTATTGTTCAACTCTCTACCTATTTTTTTCAGTGTTCATGTTAAAAAAAAAAAAAAGACAAAGGATGAAAAATTGGAACTGAACAATAGGGGACGATGAGGAAGACTCCAAGAAAGAGCCATCAGATGACTGGTACCGGAAGAGGACAAAGAAGACGTGCACCATCAGTTGCCAGGAGAATAATGCAGCAGTTCTTCAAGGAAAGCAATGACAATTAAATCATTGGCCACCTTTACCTGGATCGATCCCAAAAAGCAGAGAGGAAAGACCAGGACAGAATGACAGAATTCCAAGGGAGGAGTCTGAATGGGAAGCTCAGACACATTTGTCGGAGAATGTTAACTCTGAACCATCCGCTGTGCAACTTATACACCCAACCTGGCCAAAGTCACTACGGAGAGTTTTTGTAACAGGCCTGCAGGCCATTCATTCCTCTAAACATACCAGCTTTCACAGCAGGGTCAAGCAAGACCTGTAACGTTAACTACTAAAATAACAAGACAGGTAAAATTAACTACTTGAACAATCTCCTGGACCCTGTTCCTCTCAGTGAGGGATGGTTTTAAACACTCATTTCAGGGCTGTCACTGGAAGGTTATCCACTACGTGTCCCTATATTAAGACCAAAAGAGATATCTTCCAAGAAGTCCTTGTGTTTAAAAAAAGAAAATTCTGTCTGTACCCAAAATAGTGTCTTCCTTTTTCCGTGGTTATCAGGAACATCAGAGACTTATTTGTGGATCAACTTAGAAACTCTAAGATACATAATGATCAGGATCTATCTACAAGCCAACTTGGCCCTGCTTCTGATCTATTACTGTATATTTTCTGTAAAGTTAGATGTTTATCTATCACTAACTTCCCCCATCTTAACATACGACGGAGTCCTACAAATCTCACAGAGTCCACTGTAAAATAAAGTGGGCAATGAATAAATAACTTACCTGGGATTTGTTCATTTTCTGCTGTCTTGGAAAAATGCGGACAACTCTGAAGACGTGCTGGGTTACAACAAGAGGGATGGGGTCACTGAAGATGTGGGCTGCCCGGGGCTCCTGAATCCACCCGCCCTACAGAACCACACATACCCAACAGACAGGAAGAAGAGCGTCAGGACCTCCGACCTTCAGATGTTCACACACCACCTATCGGACCTGACTCCGACATAATCGCGCAGTAGCTCCTGGGCATAACATTTTCCGCTGGGTAAATGTAAATATTTGCTCCCTGAGGATTTAACAGTTTAAACTTCTCTTGATGCTCACAAAAAAAAAAAAAAAAAAAAAACTCTTTTAAATAAAAAAAAAAAAAAAAAAAAAAAAAAATTGCTTTAAATAAAAAAAATGGTTTAAACAATACACCCAGTGAAGTAACATTAACTCTTCACTGAAACTGTGATAAAAATACTCCCGACTAATCTGTTTTATCAATTTCCCTACTGTTACTAAACCTTTGGTTAGTGATTCCACAGAAAGCTATAAAAAGCAGTGCTTTAAGGAAAGGTCTAAGGTTTCAATTTCTGTATCTTTGTTGCCGTTTCTCAAAGGATCTTTTTAATGTAATTTGCTTTTCCTTGCGTGGAAAGCAGGCAGTTCTCTCTCATGAGTCAGGAGACACCACTTTTAGTCTTCGCCACTAATTCTGAGCAAGTCAATAACCTTCAAGAGGGGAAGTTTTTTTTCTATTAAATGAGACAAAAACAATTCTTGAGGATCCTTCCTGAATGGAAGGGTATGTCAGGACGGAGCAACAGCGCACATCAGGATGCAGTGATGGGCACGACTGGTGAGCAACGCAGACTCCGGGAAGGATAAAGGGAGCACCGAGGGAACGGGGTCTCCGTGAGGCGGGGGGGTAACCGCACAGCCCCAGCAGGTGGGCCCCGTTCCCCCGACCACCGCACGCAACCACCCGCCGCGCACGCGCAAATGCCCTCCCCGCAGCGCTGTCCCCTTCCCACCGGTTCCGACACCCACCGTGCATGCGCACACGCCCTCCTCCCGCGGCCTCCGGAACGGGGCCCCACGGACGGCACCGCACGCTCCGCGCAGGGGCCGATCACGTGGGGTCCCGACCCCTAGTCTTGATGCAGACGTCCCCATCCTGCCTTCGGGGGTTCCGCCGAACTCCTCCACACTATCGGGCACCGACCGCCTACCCCCGACCCGCGACCCCCGGGCAGCACGGCGCACCCCTCGGCCCTCGTCCAACTGTCCCGGGCTTACCGGTCGCTCCCTCGTGGTGAGGAACTGGCCCCAGAAAAGCGCAGAGCATAAGCGGCCTCCCACGCGAGAACTGAAGAAAACCGCGGGGCGGGGAGGGGGGGGGAGACGGAAGTGCACGGAGGCAGGAGGCGGAACCAGGCATGCGCAGAAACAGGCCTGCGCAGAACCGGGCAGTCCGGGCAATCAGTGCTGCAAGTCAGAACTACCTTTCCCTGCTGACTACCGGCGGTGCGAGATTGGCTGAGAGTGCAGTCTTTACCCAGCACGTGAAAGTTTGGGGCGCTTGAGATAGTTCCCCAGGCAGTCAGAGCCCGTCAGGGACTCCCCACAGTTTACGGATTACAGCTGAGTTCTATGTGCAGCAAGTGTGCAATTCAGACACAGCTGTCAGGAAAAGAGAACCCGCATGTCACGTTCACTTTTTCAAATACTAGGAAATAGATTCCATCAATAAAATAAAAGAATGCCTAAAAAAAAAAAAATAGTATCGGACACCATCAGCGATTCTCTCAGAAAATGAAAAGCCAGGGGGAGAGGGCGGGGTCAAGAAACTAGTTCATCAAAAATCATGAAAACAATAAATGAAAATTGTAGATAAATCATAAAACACATTCCAAAAATATATATTCATTTACACGAACATACTCTTTCCTCTGTGGAGACATTAAGATTACTTGAATAAATGAAGATCTACCCTTTCACAGAAAGAAGCGATATTCTTTGAAAACATTCCACTAAGAATCTCAGTCTTGCATATATTTTTTTCTCTTTGATTTTTGTGTATCTTAATGTGTACTTTACAAAAGCGTTCTCAACTTCATCTGGAATAAATAATCTAAATTAGCAGACAAAAAACATTTCAAAAAGAAAAATTCCTGAGAAGTATCAATATGCACAATATTGCTCGAATAAAAATAGTTTGGCATCTGCTTCATGGAAACAAAGCCATGACTAAGTGTATTTTTTGAATGCAGTATAACAAATGTAGCATTTCAAAGCACTGAGGAAAGAATAGAATATTCCAAAAGCAATTCCTTCCCAACAATTTGGAGTAAAGTTATGTACATAGATCACACATGGTACAATTCACATGGATTCAAGATTTAAAATAAAACACTAAGTTAATAAAAATAGAGGTGACAAGTTGTAACACCAAAAATAGAAACCATAAATTTAGTACCTGATACATTATAAAAAACAAACAACTCAGCTCAATTTTTTTAAGAAGTTAAAAGCAAATAAACAAGAAAATTATATTTTTATTATTTGAAAGAAAAGATATATTAATTAAAAAAGAGATCTTTAAATCAAGAGAAAGTAAAACAAAATGGGCTACAGAACTAAGCACTAATATGATAATGAATGACAAAGGTATATAAAATGAAAATGAATGATAAATATGTATAAAAGTCCATTATGAGAATTGAAAAAATGCAATGTTTAAGTAAAAACATGTAAGATATTGAGATTTATTTTTTTAAATTTCTGTACAAAAGTTCACTCTGCTGTAGTTTTATGAATTTTGACAAATGCATAGATCTGTGTAACCACCACCACAGTCAAAATACAGAACTGTTTCATCACAGCCCCCAAAATTCTTCACGCTACCCTTTTGAGGTCAAACTTTCTTATCCTTTGGCAGCTACTCTCTCTTCTTCATGCCTATAGTTTGCCTTTTCTGGAAAGTCACATATATAGACTCTTACCATATGGAATCTTATGAATCTGTTATCTTTTACTTAGTACAATACACTTAAGATTCATCAGTGTTGTTTCGAGTATCAATACACTTGTTGGCTTTTATTTCCCAAGTCCTACTCCATGGTATGAATTTACCACACTTCACTTATCTCTTTCCAAGTAACTTTAATTTCCAATTTGGGGAAATTATGAATAAGTAAAATACCATTTTGAAGTATAAGACTCAAACATATTTTTAAAAAGAGTAATACAGAGTTAGGGTGTGTGCTTGAGAAGATGCTTATTCCTACTCACTTTTATTGAGAGTTTAATTCATGTAAACTCTCTGGAGGCTCATTTTTATCAAATTCTAAAGGAATTTTAACTGGGAAATTCCACTTAGACAACAACACATGACTTTATAATAATAGAATTAATTTTCATTGACGTACGTACAAGAATGTTTACATCAGTCAGAGTCCAGGTGGGAAGAGAAACCTCTCAAATATGATGAGAGGGAATTTAATAGAACAGGTTAAAACAGGTATTTTAAAGTCAAAAGTGAACACAAAGGTAACGGGGATAACAACTGCAGACAGCAGCTACCACCCCAGGGTAACATGATGAAAGAAGTCAAAGAATTCAAACGTAGCCACTCAGAAGAGGATTCCACGCTTGAAGACCTGGGATTCCACACCTGAAGCAGGGGAGGTGCCTGGGTCATGCTGATATATCATAGGTGCTGAGAGAAGAGCCTCGCAGAACTGGAATTCAGACCTTCAGAGGGGTGCTATCCAGTTACTGCACGACTGTCAGAAGGGCATGGTGGGATAATGCCTCTGAGGGGTGTCCTGCTCAGCTGGTGCTGCCTGTCAGAGAGGAATCAATATGGCTACATGTGGGAGAGCTGAAAGAGGCTGGAGAGTGAGCGAACCTGCTGGGATTAGCTCCTAGTGATGGCTGCAGAACTTTGTGAATATACTTGAAACCACTGAATTTTCTGCTCTTAAGGGAGTGAATTTAATGATATGTGAATTATATCTCAATTTTTAAATATTTCAAAAAAAGAAGCTGTAGTGTACCACTGGTGGCCAAGGTGAAGGGCCATTGCTAGGGTGATGTTAAGGAAAGCATTCTGAAAACAGGAAGAAGGAAGCTGCTCCTCCCATAACCGTGTCCTCCACACTTCCTGTAGGGTCTCCTAGGGCAAAGCAGGGGACAAGTGTAAAATGTGGTTTACACAGTCCCAAGCACCAATATTGCAATGCACAGTAGAGAATGCTAGGCTTAGCGTAAAGAGGCAATAGCTAAAACTAACAGGATTCCTCACAATTTAATTTATAAAAGCAAATACTAGAAACAAAATGTCCTTGAAGTTTGTGTAAGCAAAATAAATTAAGGCCATATAGTGGAACACTATGTAACCATTAAAAGCAGTAATGTAGAGGGTCACCTGGGTGGCTCAGTTGGTTAAGTACCCAACACTTGATTTCAGCTCAAGTTTTGATTTCAGGGTCGTGAGTTCAAGCCCCATGTTGGGCGAAAAAAAGAAAAAAACTGGTACTGTAGAGGTATACTAACTTACATAGGGGATTGGTTACAAAATACTTTGAAATTAAGAATTTGGTTTATGTAAGAATATTTAAGACAAGATCACATTAAAAAAAGGTACTAGAGAGGGGTACCTGGCTGGCTCGGTCAGTAGAGCATGCAACTCTTGATATCAGGGACATGAGTCCGAGCCCCACACTGGGTTTAAAGATTACTTAAAACAAAAGTACCAGAGAGTGACATCAGCATGATGGAAGCATAAGACATTGGTTCCTCCTTTTTCTCTCCCTTTTTAAAAAACTAATTTGACATCCATCCATGAACAAAAATGCGTTGGTGGGAGTTGTGGAACCCAAAACTATATGCCAAGAGACCCAGAATGAGTCTCCTCTACCTGTGTACCTATTAACAGGCACGCAGTCCTTACTAAGAACTGCAGAACCAGCAGAGCCAGCAAACCTGCCCAGTGCCTTTTGCCCTGGGTGGGAAAACAAACCGGAGAGTGCTCATCTAGGACAGATGAATGGTAAAGAAAATACACACACATACGTGCACACACACACACACACACACAACACAGGAATATTATTCAGCCACAAAAAGGGAAATCTTGCCATTTGCAATACAGTTACACCTTGAGGGCATTATGCCAAATGAGGTAAGTCAGACAGTGAAAGACAAATGTTGTATGATCTCACTTATATGTGGAATCTTTAAAAAAACAAAAACAACCAAAATCATAATATAGATGGGGGGCTGCCAGAGGCAGGGTGTGGGGGAGTGGGTGTCATGGGCAGAGGGGGTGAAAAGGCACAAATTGCCAGTTATAAGATAAATAAGGCTGGGGGATATAATGTTTGGCATGGTAAGTACAGTTAACAATACTGCATTGTATTTTGAAAGGTGTTAAGTAGATCTTAAATTTCTCATCACAAGAAAAAAACCTGTAACAATTTGTGATAATGGATATTAACTATATTATGGCAATTATTTCACTATATATATATATATATATATATATATATATATATGCACCAAATCATCATGTTGTCAACCAAATACTTACCCAATGTTATATGCCAATTATATCTTAATTTGAAAAACTATCCAGGGGCGCCTGGGTGGCTCAGTCGTTAATCGGCTGCCTTCGCCTCAGGTCATGATCCCAGGGTCCTGGGATCGAGCCCCGCATCGGGCTCTCTGCTCAGCGGGAAGCCTGCTTCTCCCTCTCCCACTCCCCCTGCTTGTGTTCCCTCTCTCGCTGTGTCTCTCTCTCTGTTGAATAAAGAAATAAAATCTTTAAAAAAAAAAAAAGAAAAACTATCCAAAGCCTATTATATATTCAATGCAATCCTATCAAAATTTTAATGGCATTTTTCACAAAATAGAAAAAACAATATTAAAATTTGTACGGAGCCATAAAGACCATGAATAGTCAAACCAATCATGAGTAAGAACCAAGCTGGAGGCCTCACACTTCCTGATTTCACACTATACCACAAAGCTGTAGTAATTAAACCAGTAGAGTATTGGCATAAAAATAGCTGGGTAGACTAATGGCACAGAACGAAGAGTCCAGAAATAGACTCATGCATATACAGTGAACTAACAGTTCACAAGGGATCAAAAAATCCTCAATGCAGAAAGACAGCCTTTTCAATAAATGGTACTAGGAGAATGAGATAAACCACATGGAGAGACATGAAATTGGACCCCTATCTTACACCATTCACAAAATTAACTCAAAATAGGTTGAAGACTTAAACACTAAGACCTGATACCATAAAACTCTTAGAAGAAAAAATAGGGAAGAAGCTCCTCCACAATGATTTTCTTGGTAATGATTGTTTGGA